GCCATCTCGTCCTGCAGATTCTCCTTATCAAATGTAATCAGTGCATCTGAACAAGCATCCCAAACCTAAAGCAAAGAGACAAATTATTGCTGTGGTTTACAACTCTATCCTTAAGTGACCGCTCGGGCTCTATTTATGGATTTCCAGAAAGCACGTGCTTCGCTGAACTTGAACACATCAAAGCCGTTCGACTGAGCGAAGAGTTTTGCCAGATACTCTAACCAAACATCAAACTAGATTCAACAAAAGCCACCAACAGCCTTTGAGGTTGCACGGCTGACTTTGTAAACGCACTGGGGTGAGGCAGAAAAGTAAAATGCCATTCTTTGTGGCGATTTATGCTTGTATTTATAGTTAAGTCAATAATAAATAACAAATATGCGAACATTACTGTCGGGCTAAGTTCGTTTCATCCAAGTTGCCTTGCAACTTTGTTACTAAAACAAGCAGCTGGTTTTAAATGCAAAAAAGTCTTGGTGATTGACGCAGCTATTTTTTAAAAACCTAAAATGACTTGTAACTAAGGTGACTAGCAAACAATTAAATACATGTGTAACATGGATTCAGAAGGACTGTTCTACCCTTCTTGTTATACAGCCATGCTAAAACCACTAATAGTAGTGGTTTTGCAATTTTTGATCCATGGTTACGTGGAAGATTTAAAACGTGACCAACCCACAATTATGAGGATTTTACACATTGGAAAAACACAGCTGTTGATAAAGTTTTGGAGTTGCTATGTACATCCCTTGCCAAAATAACCCTTTTAACATGATCATTTCTGCAACAAAGATACAAGAAAAGGTTCAGACCACTATGGAGGAAAAAAAAAAAAATCTAGCTGATAACACTTTAGGGAACCTCCACACTCCACAAAAAAACACCTCTTTCTGGTACATGGCACTTCCCAAACCCGCTTTAGCTGCTTTCCTCTAACCGCTTGAGTCTAATTGAAGAGCAAGAGGGAACCTAGCTCATTTCCCTCGCAATTTCATCCTTGCTTGGCACTCACAAACAAACAAAAAAATCTTAAGGGGTACAGGAAAGGTATAATGGGTGAGGTATATCACTATAAAGTGCACTCTGATGACATCCCTAAGTTTGCCCAGAAGCCACAGGATTTCATTCTGGCAGTGAAAAATCCACATCTTACAGTTGAAACCCCACCACAGCATAGAAAACGCAGGGTCCTTTTACTTGTGATCTCCACAGATTTGAACTCCTCTCCCTGCATCGCACATGAATCTTCGTAATTAGTAGACGCACGCAGGGCTAGATTTATGTAATCTCGCTAAATAAGACTCTAATAGATAAACTTTGGCCGCAAGCAAAACCGAGCTTAACGGTCACTCCGCGATGTGGAGTTTGAGGTTCTGCATCTCTAATGTATGTTTTGTATTCGAAGGCTGTGGTTCTGTAGCATTAATTTATGGGTGGCTACTTACAGTGTGATGATAGGCAAACAACGATGAGCAAAGCACGATACAGCTGTTTTTAATGGAGTGGCTTCCTGCCCTCAGGAATATAAGCAGGTAAGGTCATAGTAAATGACTGTGTTGGTTACTCAATGTTTTGCTTAAATGTTTACTTGTTTTTAAATGATGCAAGTTTCATTTAGTGTGATATCTGATTACTTAATTTATATATTTACTTATAAAAAAGTATTAAAAAGGTGTTTTGGTTGACATTCTATGAAGCACCAGGTAATACCGTGGTGCGCGAATATGATGATCATTTAGTAGCACATCATTGCATATTGGTACACCACTAGTAATCATTGTGTTACAACATACTGGTTTTACTGACCTGCATTTTATTATACGGCTTGCATCTCATATTTACAATATGGTCCCAAGCACCAAGACCTGAAACACAATAGGATACAATTACAAAGGCACCACATTTGTTCCTACTCATTCAATGCCGAAGGTAAATGAATATAGCAATGGAAAAAAAGTACACCGCACGTCAGAGAGAGCTACCTACTGACCTACTTCCTGGTGAATCTTTCATATACAAACATTATACTGTAAATAGGTATAATGACAGGAGTGCAGATTCAGAGCTTTTGAATGGAACAGATGTACTTATCCTCGCCACAGGCCTTTTGATTGGATTGTGCCCCAACATTACCCAAAGTACTGGTTCTAAATGATGCCCAACATTGCCCATTATGCAAACATGCATTCTGTGGACACAATCAAAAGCATATGTTTCATCCAACATAACACACTGTGTAGCCAGGCAACCGAGGGCAGTTCAATGTCCTCGGCATCACATCTACTACTGTGCCTCTAAAATCTATTGTTTTCTTGTCAACCGCATTCTGTAAGTGTTTATTTCAGAATGTGAGAAAGAACTATATTAATTGATACTGGTGAAGAGATTTGATATGCAGTCAATGTTTAAGGTAAATGCAAAAAAAATTGGCAAAAGGGATATATATAAACTTTATTTTTCCTAAATTTTCTCCAGGAAACAAATAAAGTACTACCCTATCACATCCTAAATGTTAGTCCTCACTAGTGTTATTTTTGTATCATTTCTTATTACAGTAGTGAATCATATTTTGAATTAGCTTTTATTTTTTATTACATTTTCATTTTTACTTTCAATTTAATATTAGTTTAAGGTTTAGTACTTTTGTCGGGGGTTTTTATATTTCTATTTAGCTTTATTTCAGTTATTTTAATTTTACAAATATAAAACTTCAACTTCAACTTATTTAATTCAGTTAGTTGCGAGGACAACATTTCTCATTTTCATTGACGTGTCATGTACTATTTATATTCTATTTTATTTCAGCTTAATTTCAATTAACTATTCAAATAATTTGTAATAGTTTTAGTTAACAATAACAACACTGTTCATCACAAACATATGGTTTCAGTAGACTCTGGATCAGTGTTGGGTGTAATGCATTACTAAGAAATTAATTATTGTAATTTAATTACTTTTCCCTTAAAAAGTTAAATAAGGAATTACTCTTAATGTTTCTGTTGTTTAATTACAGTTACTTCTGATGTAATTGCATTAAATAATGTAAAGACTACAAGAAAAAGTACATCAAAATGTAACGACTAAAGTTTAAATGTATGTTTTCAATGTCACTTTCTCCCTTTAAATACTTTGGTCTATTCAAGAATATTTTACATTATTTATTTGAAAGAATTAAGAGAGCAGTTTCGTGTCTATCCTTGCATTGTTCAACTGGTCAAGGTTGATGGGATTTAGAAAGTAATCTAATTACACTGGTAAAGATGTAATATAGCTCTGGTAATTAATTACTCTTTACAGTAACTTACCCAACACTGCTCTGAATATAGTGCGACAGTTGAATGGACTACTTCTATGATGTAAGCTATTTAATGATGCTCTTTGTTCATTTTCGGAAGACACAGGGATGAATAAATGAAGACGGAATATCATATTTTTGGATGAACCATCCCTTCAGAGCCGCACTAAATGGAAGTTGCGAAAGTCTGTTCTTCCCTACGGTGACGTATGTCAAAGTTAACTTAGATTTCATGGTAGTGATTTAGTGATCTCTGAGATCCATATGAATGTTATATGAATCACATACTATGAAATAAACATAAAAAGCTATAAAAGTCCATACCACTAAGAAGTGTTGCTGAGCCTGGACTGATGGAGCTGACCCTTGTACTGAAGGTCTCAGGAACCTTGTCCATCTCTTTTTTGTGACCAGCTTCCAGCAGAAGAATCTTCTTCCCTGTTAAATTTGGATCTAAACCTGAAAGAAGAACAGGGATAAAAATACAGGATGATTTATTTGCTTTGCAATATCACCGTGGGGTTGTTTCTCGAAATTTTGCATGATTTTACCAACACATTTGAATATGAACTCGCTCAAGTTCGCCTAAAATCTGTGCGTTGATTGCACACTGCTTACTTTAGCATCCTACGGCATGAGAACGTCACATTGCAGTGCCACCGCAATTGCACCCTTCACCTCCAGCTAAAACACTTTCATCACACAAAATAACAACCTCTCCTTTGCGTAAAAAAAAAAAAAACAAGGGGTGAAGGAAAGCAACGGGAGAGACTTTATTACAGCTGGGAAGTTTGCCAACACTGTGCTTATGATGAAGCGTGGGAGAGTGCAGAGTGAAGCTGAGGGGCAAAAGCGGGTGCACCGTGCATGCATGTCTCTCTCTCTCTCACTCACCCAATGAACATGCCATAGCGGTGCCCACCATTCCCCCGCCAGATATTATAATGTCAAAGAGCTCGTTTTCAGATGTGCTGGATTCCTCATCGCACGCGGAGGACGCGAAGCCTCTGCGCGCCGCTCGCGCTCCATTGAGTGCCCTCACTGAAACACACTGCCGTCCTATCCCGAACACGCCGAGTCTAGTCAACATTCTAGCGGAAAACAGACGTAAAACAACTTGTTGCGACTAACAAACCTGAAAAGAAATATCTAACAGCCCCCGTTAAATCTGTCCTGTTATTGACAATAAGGGCGAACTCGTATCTGTCATCCAGCCATGTTGTTGTAACGTTATACGTAAGAGTTCTGTTTGCAACAGTTCTTCCGGGTGCTAAAAGCCACTGAAATAATGAAAATGGAGCATGGACATTCCCAAACCATTTAATTTAGACTCAGGTCCACAAGTGAGTAGTATGTAAAATAGCACTAGAACTAAATTGTAACACATGTGTCTTTTAAAATATTTTCACTTCTTTATCAGAATCGTTGAGAACGTAGCATGATGGAAGCAAGTTCCCTTTAGCGCCATCTGCCGTCGTGGATGAAAAAACAAGTGCGTTCGGTTTATTTAAATAATGTGCAGTGCAGTCTACCAGTCAACAACACATATGCGTGTTTTGTTGCTGCATTAAATATTTGCTGTGAAAACATGGTATTTTGTATCTAACATTCCTGCAGGACATGCTGTTTAGGATTCGGTGTGCGTGTTCAGCCGCTGGTGGGTGGAGATTGTCATCGCGGTGCAGAGATCTTATTATTTGCCGATTCCAAGGAAATGGAGTGTCTTGATCTTTTACAGTAAATGGATGAGTGTTTGAATGATTTCCTCATAGCGGGCCTGATCACACCATGGATCAGATGACGATGGTGAGAATAAAGAGGTTACGATACCAGAGTGTGCGTTCAAACGAGAAACAAGTTTCTGATATATTTCCAGTGCATTTGTCGATTGAACAGTGATTAATCCGCTTGTTTTATTATTGTGTATAACGTTACAGTTATTTTGAATCGATTCTAACCGCGGCGAACAACAATAACCGAGCGTAACTATGCGCGTTTGGGGTTGCCATAGTAACAACAACAGGCTGTTGACATTCAACAGGGCTCCCCTAGCTAAGAAAATCAACAACAGACAAACTCAATATTTTGATGACATTTTTTTTACAGTGTTGGGTAGTTACTGATTACATGTAATATATGTAATCAGATTAAAAAAAATAAGTAATTATAATTAGATTCTATTACGTTTTAAAGGCTAATCAGACGTGGCTTTCTTATTGATTAGGGTTATGGCTAACATTAACTCTAAGCCTAACCTTTACAGAAATCATTTCACATCAAGTGCTGTTTTCTCAACATTGTAACATCACATATCAAATTAGCTCCTGACAAACACATTAATTATTATTTGAATTATCACTCATTTAACCATGTATCACTGTCTTTGGAAGGCTTTTGTCTTTTAAACCAGTTAAAATTTACAAATTCACATCATTTCATATCTACATGCAGACGGTGCAGGGATTCTCCAACCTTTTTGTCAGCTGAACCTCTTTGACCTGATATTTACTTAAAGTACCCCTGAGATTTTAAGTTAAAGGGATAGTTCACCCCAAAAAAAAGAAAGAAAATTCTGTCATCATTTACTCACCCTCATGTTGTTCCAAACATGTTAGACTTTTGTTTATCTTTATTCGTCCCATCCAATAGGCCTAACAAAATGTAATGCAGTACAATGTTCCGTGTTGAGTAGACTATCAAAATGTGTTTACAATAGTTTTAGCATGCTATAATGCACATTTAGGGGGGGGTTTACATGCTAAATTACATATCTTCATGGCTGACTGTTTGATTTACATTTAGTAGACACTTATTCAAAGCAACTAACAAATCAGGAGTGATTCATTTTAAAGAGGCAATAAACATGATAAGTGCTAGTCATGCAAATTTTCATAAATCATGCTCTCATCTCTTTTAGTTAATCATTTAATCAAACAATCCAACAAACACACTAAATACATATTGTCTGCTCAGATCTCTCCCACTTTAGCTATCTCTAGATCTGAAGAGGGAGACAATGTGCACGTTTCGAAAAGCCTGCTGCCCTTCAGTGAGGACCGGAAGAAGTCTGAACTATCTCTTGAGGTGCATTTGGAGGCTCTGAAGGCCAAACGCAAGCAGCAGCTGGAGAATTTGGAGCTTCAGCATCAGACTGGGCTGGAGAAGCGGGTCCTGCAGAACTCCCTGCTCACCAGCAGCACTGAGTGGATGCTTAAAGCCAATATACTGCAGCAGAGCATCAGCGATCATGGTGGCCCAAACTCTGAGAAACGCAAACACCACAGGTAATTCGAATCTTAAAGAGTTAGTTCACCCAAATATGAAAATTCACCCTCATGCTGTTCCAAACCCGTAAAACTTTTGTTCATCTTTGGAACACAAATTTTTAATTTAATACAATAATTAATAAAATCTGAGAGCTTTCTGTCCCGCCATTGACACTCTACGCCACTACCACTTTGACGCTTCAAAAAGTTCATAAAGAGATTGCAAAACTTATCCATACGAATTGAGCGGTTTAGTCCAAATTTTCTGAAGAGACTCGATTTATATGATGAACAGATTGAATTTAGGCTTTTATTCACATTTAAACATTGATCAGCGAACATAAACAAGCTCAACCGTACATGCTTGACGCGTGAGAATAAACCTCATTGGTTCTTGCTGAAGCTCAAACGTGCTGCGTAACACGAGAATGAACTTCATGGGCCCTATCTTGCACCCGGCGCAAATGACTTCACTGACGCATGTATCATTCCTATTTTGCACCCGCGCAAAGCCGACTTTTCCCTCCACAGACACACGTCGGTTAACTAAGAAATACACTTGCGCTCGCCGGGGCGGTTCAGCGCTAAGAGGAGGCGTGTTCCGGTGCAAACTTTCCCTCATGCTATTTTGCTGTTCTATAAAACAATTGCGCCACTGACCAGAAAAAACCTAGTCTAAAGTCAGTGGCGCGTTGCGCGTTGTTCATTATGCTATTTTAGATAGATAGATAGATAGATAGATAGATAGATAGATAGATAGATAGATAGATAGATAGACAATTTATTATAAAAGCATACATGTAGCTTACACATTTACCCAAATTATCATATGCCTGTTTAACAGAAGTTCATTTGGGTGGGTTTCTCCATCCCCAATGTCACTTCTCTGTGTTTTACGGCCCTGACGAGAACGTTGCTCTCCTCGGCTGTGAACCGCTCCTGGCGCGCGCCTGGAAAATCCGCCGTTATAATAGGAATCCGCTTTAGAACAAGCGCGCCTGCTCTTAAAGGGAATGTGAGATGACGCTCTGATTGGTTTGTTTCACGTTACGCCCAAACCACACCTATGAATAATGAAGCTACTTCGGACCAACCCCTTTTAGATTTGCGCCAGGCGCAAGAGGCATTTATCCCGCCGGGAAAATAGCAACAGCGCCGGGATCCGCCCACAAAGTTACTTGCGCTTTGCGCTTTGACACTTGCGTTTCAGATCGTTAAAATAGGGCCCCATACGTCAATGAACAATACAACGAACCTGAATGTTTAAATTATGAATCTGTTCATCATATAAAGCAATCAAGTCTCTTCTGAAAATTTGGACTAAAACGCTGGGTTAGTTTTACGATCTCTTGGTTAACTTTTTGAAGCATCAAAGTGGTAGTTGCATAGCTGTCAATGGAGACAGCCCTCAGATTTCATCAAAAAGATCTTCATTTGAGTTCTGAAGATGAACGAAAGTCTTACGGGTTTGGAATGACATGATGAATTAATCCTTTAAATGTGATAACAATGTTTGGCTTGAAACATACATCTTCCACATACATCTTGTTTTCAGCTCAAAGGTGATTCTGCAGAATTTTACCCCAAGTGGAATCAAGGCAATAATAACTTCTCAGGGAACGCTGACAGAGAGACAGAGGAAGCCTCTCCCTCAAGATTCACAAAAAGCCAAAGAGGAGGCAGACCTGGTTGAGTGTCAGAAACAGTTTTGCGTTGCTCCTGTCCCTGAGCACATCTCTAAGCCTCTTTATGATAACCTCATCCATGAACAAGAGCGCTTGAGGAAGGAAGGTCGTGAGCAGAGGAGAGATTTCCTCTTGACCATGCAGAAGCCCTTCAGGTTCCACAAGAGGGATGAGAAGAAGAAGGAGATGGACTCTGTCAATAAAAGTGAAAAAACACAACCAGTTTGTGTGAGGAAACCTATACCCAAAGCAGCCTCAGACCCCAGGTTTCCTGACCAGTTGAAAGGTGCCATTTATATGAATATTTAATCATAATAAAGTAGAATATAGTTTTTTATACTATATACTTGCACTATGGGTCAAAGCATATTAGAATAATTATTAAAGGATCATGTGACACTGAAGACTGGAGTAATGCTGCTGAAAATTCAGCTTTGCCATCAAAGGAATAAATAACATTTGAAAATATATTCAAAAATTTAAGTATATTCAGTTATTTTACATATATAATTATTTTTACTTAATGTTTGACCAAATAAATGCAGCCTTGGTGAGTATAAGAGACTTCTTTCAAATCATTAAAACATCTTAATTATTCCAAACTTTTAACCATGCTGTATATATTAGGGATGCACAATATATCAGCCACCATTTCGGTATATGTTCATTTTAATGTTATCGGTCCAATAAAAACAATTTGGACGAAATTAAAGCTATAGGGACGTGGATTTTAATGGTGAGACTTTTGTTTTTGTAATCAGGCTCTCAAAAATTATATAAAAACTTGGATTTAGATTTATCGGACAATATATCGGTTATCGGTTTTCAAATATAAAGAATTATCGGTTATCGTATCGGCCATAATTTTCATATCGTCGCATCCCTAATATATGCATATAAGAAACACCATATGTAATTGATAATTAAACATATTTAAAGGAAAACAAAAATACAAAAAAACAAAATTCAAGTTTAATTTGAAGAATGTACATTTATTTTCAATATTTTCAAATAAGCCATAATGCACTCACCCTCATTGTACTCTGAAACTGTGTTCATGTGATGGTGGCTCAGAACAGGAGCAGCAAAGGAAGATTCGCATTCACCTGAGAGCCCAGGAGACCCTGAAAGCTTCCTCAGCACCCATTCAAAGGAATGAAGCCAGTGCAGATAGCCAGACCCGCACGTCCCGCAGTGCTCAGAAGAGCAAAAACAAGATGCTGGGTTACTTGGACCAGAAGCTGTCCTTCAGGCCTCAAACTAACGCTGCCGTGCCTGACTTTGACAAGCTCTACCAGGCCTTTCAACAGAAGGCAATGGAGACAGCAGAGAGGAGAGATGTGACTCAGTGTAAACCCTTCCGGCTGCGCACATCTGCACTACAGCCTCGCCACAGGAGTCCAGAAAACACACAGGTCGCCATTTTCATGCATTGATTTTAGTGGCTTGATAAACTTTTGAAGATTCCTTTAACATATTTGTTTTGTAACTTTTCAAAACTAGAAATCTACAGACAAAACGAGTCTAAAGAGAAGCAGTTCATTAGGTGGCCTGACATCACTGTCGATGGATACTCTTCCAACTTACATAACAGATGCTGCCAGGAAAAGATCCATGGCTGTAAGGTGAGCCTGTTGCTGATTACACCATTTTATGAATGACTAATTTCCAATAAAATCTGACTTTAAATACTGTTTTCCTGTATAATACACTCAATCATAGTCTCTTTTTTCCCCCCACAATTCATGACTACACTGTATTTCAAAGAAAGAAAGAATTCTATTCCACTTATTCCACCTCTTTACTATTATAAACTTTTTTATATGTGTGTATGGGAATAAGTGATATTTAAAGCAATAAACAATAATAAAATATTTAAAATAATGGGAAATTAGAAAAATATGTAGCTTAGAATATTAAAATGTATTATTACAGAAATAAAATATGTTCACTTTAAAGTTTTTTAACTTATTTTTTATTTAATTATAACTGTATAAATGTATGTAACATAGATGTTACTGTATGTATGCACATATAATTTTATTAATTCCATTAAAAAAGTGTTGATTTATTTAAAGTGCCTCATTATATTTTTGAGTAGAGTAAAAGTTCTGCAAAGTTTCAGAAATCAAAATGCATGATGAATGGAGTTATTGTCCCCTTAAAGAAAGAACCAATGGGCTCTATGCACGGCGGTATTTCCGGTGAAGGTCTAAAGCCTGGCTCACACTACAAGAGTTTTAGGCCGATTTATGCCCGATTTTCCCCTCCCGAGAATCGGAGAAAAAATCTTGTCGAGGACCTCGATCGGTTCCGATGTTCGGCACAGATTATCTGGTAATGTGAGGCATTCACAGATCGAATCTTGCACCTCCCGATCTGCTCTTACACAAATCGGGCTCGCCCCGATCATATCAAACATGTTTGATATTTATCGGGATGAGCAAGATTGTGATTACGTCAGTACTGTCACAATAGCCAATAAGTAGGGCTGTCATGGTGAAGGAATTTCCATTGAGGTAATTTTGAGTGACTCATCAGCGCGATGCGCGCATTATCTCCATTATCCATTTATTGCTAAATAAATAAGCATAATACAGTATAATAAATAATAATAAAATACTAAATGCATAATAAAGGCATCTGAAATAATAAACTAAGTAGCCTACAATCTAGTATTGTCAAAAATATAGATTTTTCGATATCGATCCTGAACCATCTGCAACTCTTCCGTCTTCCGCAGGATGCACGCGGTCTTCAGTAGTGAACGCGCCAGAGAGAAATGCACATTTCATACGGATTACATAAGCAGTCTGTAGTCTGTTTTCTTTCGTTTTGAATTGTTCTGTTTAAAAGTAGACATGTCTGTGAGGCAAGTAGGCTATCTTATACGCTGAGTTTCGGTTCATTTATGAAGTATCGCCGACGCCTCCGTTTCGTGATTATCTATCGTCTGCTATATTTACTTATTATTTATAAAAATCCAGGCAATTGGTTGATGAAACATTGTTTAAAATTAGGATACAATTAATGCAAAACGAAATTCGATTTAAAGAAAGGTTTTGTGCTTTCTGTTTGATGTCTTTGTGAAAGTTTTAAAGCATATTTTAAAGTCGCTTAGAGCGGTCATGTCCGTAACATTGTTTTTTCCTCAAATGCCAACACGAAAAATAAAATAATATGAATATTTTATGTTCTGTGGAGACTGAGAGCCCTTTCTTCATCCGGTGGGTAGTAGCTAGCCTACTGTAGGCTATTACTTTGGTTTGCACAGTGTAATTCACAGAATTAGGCCTAGACCTACACAAAAATATTTTCATTATAAAATATTTATATTCATTATAAAGTTATATTCATTCAAAGATAGGTTAAATGAAACAAGCTGTTAATTATTTTAATTTTAACTTTGAGCTCCACTTTACAATGCTCAGCTGAGCAGCAATGGGCATTGAGCAACGCTGCTGATGCTTTACCTTATAGAGATCTATGGCATTGATTCATTGTATTGAACAGAGCTGACGCCATTCATTAGAAATATCCTTATTAAAAGGATGATTTTTTTTAAAAAAGATTTCGCTTTCCTTGGTCACACGGCAACCTTTTCACGAATATGACTTAATATGAAGGACAGATATTTTGTTTACATCCACCTTTCCGCTTCCGATCTGTTGCGTGAGATCACGTGAGGCGCTTTCTCTGGCACGAATCTTAATAACATTGTGTAGTGTGTGATGCGCCACGATTTTCAAATCTTTTAGTGTGAGCATGTTTAAGATTTGAGGTAAGAAAATCTGCAAAGATTCTCCTTAAGTGTGAGCTGCAACCAGATTTCAAAATCGGTTAGGATTTTAAAACTCCTGTAGTGTGAGCGAGGCAAGGATGCTGGATTACTTCCGCCGATCGTAGAGTCCAATGCTATAACGAGAATTTATATTGGTTTTTATACTCAATTGCTATACTAAAGAAACGTTAGTCACAAAAACAGACACAACAGACACTCCTCATTTTGTTTATGCTTCTGTGTTTATTATATTAAATAAACATAACTATATATAAAATTACATCTAAACGTATTCAAGTTTCGTTTCAAAGACGAGAGGACAGTACATTTTGAAGATTAATCCCGTTTTCCTCGGTTTTCCTCCGCTTTAAATCTCCCCAATCGGAAACGCACGAGCATCCTTGCGTCAAACGCGGAAGTTATGCGTGCATATAGCCCATTCTGAACTGCCTGAAACGAGTCATCATAGCCTGGGAAAACCCAGACAACTTCTGGCAAATTTAGATTGGCTCTGAAAGTTAGTCTGGCAAAGAGCTCATTCAAGGCCATTTCCAATCCGCCGAAATCGCGGCACCAATCAGAAACGTTGGGGCGGGCTTTACACGATGACGACAGCGCTGGGATTTTGAAGCAGATTTTGTAGCGTACATTACAAAGATGGATGCCGCCGTCGAACATCACTCGTTCGAATCAGCTATCGCGTCTGTTTTAAGCGATTTGAACGTTTCCTTTTTGTTAAAAACCGAGCAAAGACCAACACTCCGTCGCTCTGCATACGTCTGCATACGTCATCTCCTTCATCGCTCTGATTGGGTTTAGGTCTATCCGCGACGTCCGTTGGTGACGCCCCTCTGGAAATGATTTGTCTATGACGCTTTGCCAGACCATAACTCAGTTACAACTGAGAATGGTCTGGTTTTAACCAGGCCAGAGTCATCAGTAATTCCAGTCTTACTTCCTGCATGACTCTATATAGGTTTGTAAAACATTTGCATAATGCCAGCCTATGGTCTTCATTGGCTGCCCGTGAACAATGTCTACTTTGCCCCGTCCTCAAACACTGTAGTTGTAGCTGAGACTGGAAGAGTTTGGTTCGTGTTGCCGAAATGACGAGAAGATACTTTTTTCTCCGTTGCAAAAGCAAATCCATTTTGCAATGCACTTCCAAAGGAAGTGCTCGGAATTGATACAGTAAAATCGACGCCATCGTATGGAGCTGAAATTCAGATTTGGTAATGGACGTTTCATTTCTGACACGGTAGGCCAATCACAACAGACTGGGCCGTCTGACCAATCAGAGCAAAGTAGACTCTCGAAAAGGAGGGGTTTAGAGAGACTGAATTCTTGATTGAACCATTTTAGACACAGTGTAATGCTGCAGTGTATATTATGAGAAAATTCAAGTGTTTTTTGACCTGGGATGCATGTAAACCTGTTGTAGGAGACCTCCAAAACAAAAACAGTAACCTTTAAAATAGCATAATAGGGGCACTTTAATAAAATGTGCTTTTTTTATTATCCTAAAAAAAGGTGATGTTTAATCTGCCTGTCATACAGGAGATCTCTGGAGCTGAAGGACCTCAAGGAGCAGGAGAACGCAGAGTGGATGAAGCAGCACAGAATCAAATCTCACGCCATGAGCAGGGCAGTGGCAATGAGAGCCAAAGCAATGGACCCCCATAAGAGTCTCAAAGAGGTCTACCAGGACAAACTCAAACTGCATCGGTGAGCACTCTGAAAAAAAAATTCAGACGACTGTGATGAATGAACAAGCCATCAGGAATGTAATAATTATGGGTCCCTGTGAATGTAGGCAAGCTGATCTGGAGAGAATGAAAGATTATCAAAAAGAGCTGAAGGAAATCAAATCACGAGTGACAGCTCGCCCATACCTCTTTGAGCAGGTGTCGCAGGTACACTAATAGAAATTCAAAATCTATTCTTTTCAACATAATTCAACATATTTAAATTGTACCATATGCATATATCTAATGCTTTCAGGAAAATGCCAAGAATAATGTTGAACGCAGATATAGGAACACTTTGGAACAAGCAGGTTTGGATGAGAATTTCGTGAGATCAAAGGGAGAAACCAGTAAGACCAACCATGTGGACACTGTGGATGAGGATCATAACAGCACTGAAAGCGAAACCCAGAAGAGGTATGGAGACACATGAATTGTGGGGGTTTCAAATAAGTGTGAAACAATATGTGTTATGATTATCACAGAGCAGAACTAATCTGACCAGTGCAAAGATTTAACCGTGTGTTAAAGCGTTTATAGTTTTGACGAAAGGTTTGACATTACTTCCTCTCTTGTGACCCATTTAAAATAAAATCATCTTGCTCAATGGAAAAACAATAGATGTGGTTTTGACATATGAGAATATCTATTTATCAAAGATCTTTCTTTTCATGATTTTAAGTCATCCATTAATAAGCTTTATTGTCACTGGCATAGTGAAAAAGTAACCATGCAAATATTATGATATAGCGGTCATGCGGTTCTACTATCGTTTTTATTTACAGTGCAGGAAGTGGGGAAGACAGTGTCACAAATGAGGAGGAAAACGAAGGGAATGTGGAAACCAAAGAGGAAGAGTTGTGCTGACAGAAGACATGTTTGGAGGCCAGTGTATTCCATCAATAATCCATATGTGCTGGGGAGACTGTGGTCAGACAAAAAATCACTGGTAGATCATTTCAGTTTTGAAATATTATGTTGTGTATGTATTTTTTTTAAACTTGATTGTAGATTTGTTTTATACATATTGTGCTAATGAAGCATTGTGGGTCTTTAAACAGCTGAGACCTCTTGTATTTTAATGGATTTACAATACAGAGGGGATTATGAATATTCAAGAAATTCCATATGGGCGTCATAACTTTTTTAATAAAACAGTATGTTAGGGGGCTACCGACCCAACAAAGAAAGAAATAACCCCAAAAACCCATTGGCAACCATATTAAAAGCTGTATATTTGCCTTAGTTCTACTTACTGCACATTAAATCATCTTATGAACCACAGAAACAGCTCTTGGGTCTGGTGTTGGGCTCCTTCAAGGTTTGCAAACGGTAAATTGGGGAATCCGTGTCTTAGCACAAACACATCTTCCACCTAGAGTCTGTCAAATGCGGCTTTGAACATCTGCTATAATTATAAACTATAACTGTCACAGAGGATAGCTTTATTCATGAAAATAACATTCTATGACAACTCTTATTTAGCAGAAGGCCCATCTGAAATTCTCATTCCTGAAGTCAGACTATTTTAAGAGAGTCAGCACTGGTTGAGTAAACAGTCCTGTGTATTTATCCGCTATTGGAAAAAGAGTTTGTGCTAGTGCATTTGGCCCCATTAACATCTTTTTACTCCAACTGCCCTTCGTAGGGACATTTTCTTCAGTCCTAGTTGGATTTTTAGTGTTTGTGTTTGGAATGGGAAGTTTTTGCTTATTTTAAAGATTTCAAGGCATAATTTCTGCTTTTGCTTTAACGTGATAATCTTTAGATGGAATTACTTGAAACGAGCTGTGTAGCATGCAGTGCATTTTATGGGTAAAATCCGGCTTTTGGAGGAAAAATGATAGTCAGCCCTGTCAATTTTTTAGAATAAAGTTGTTTATTTTATGCTTGAAGGAGTGATAACACAGAAAAATCCTTGTGCTCATAGGGCTGAAATCTAAATAATTACTGGTCTGAGGCAAATGAGCGAACTTCACATTTAAAAATGGTTTCCCAGTTTCACCTAATGATACCCATTAACTTTGTTTTGGAAATACTCTTTTTTGTCTTGGTTAAATGAGGTACAGTAGGGCTTAGAGTATGCATAGAAGTATGTACTTCACTGGTAATGGGAATGTCAGGGGGTCAAGATTTGTTAAAGTTACAAAAACAGCACCACTAAGTTGTACAAGTGATAAACTAGATTTTAGAGTTGGTGTCGGTGTGACACTAGCCATGTTCCCTTCCACCAACATGGGATGGAAACAGTGCTTTATTTGCATGTTTTATGCGATATTTAAATTTTGTGATATTCAACTTTATGCGATATTACAATTTTAACTTAAGCATTTAAAATAACAACAACAATAAATGCAAAAATGTCTCAAAACTCATTTCCAGGTTTTAGTTCTCATTCCTGTAGCACTTTATGTATGTGTAACAGGTTCAAAATAATGTTGAAAGGAAGAAGACAGGGTCGGCTTGACTGAGACTCGTGTTTTATTTCACAACCAGTAGATCACACAAAAACATAAATCCACGCTGTGGGCGCTTTCAATAACTCAGTCCACCAGAGCTCTCCAGAGCGTTCTCAGTCCTTCAAATACTCAGTCCACCAGTGCTTGCCAGAGCTTTCTCACACTGGCTGCTAACAAGTCTCAGTCAGTCTCTCTCTGCCGTTTCTCATCTCCCAGGTGGCTTTTTATGGTCGACAATTCACGACAATTACTGAAACAAGACACAGGTGTTTGTCATTTGCATTTGATCCACTTACACCGTGCTTGTACTGTACATCCACTGGACCGGATCTGGTTCTTCCTTTTTAGTGAGATCAGTCAGTGGGCTGGCGAGGTCTGAATAATTAGGCACAAACCTTCTATAATATCCCGCCAGCCCCAGGAACTGTCTCACCTCCTTTCTGGTCTTGGGTCTCGGGCAAGTTGCAACTGCTGTGGTCTTATCAATTTGGGGACGCACCTGCCCGTGACCCAAGTGGAAACCCAGATACCTGACCTCCACACGCCCAACCGCACACTTCTTTGAGTTGGCCGCCAAAACTTAGCCAGTCTCAGCGCTCTCAGGACAGCGCGCACATGCTCCATATGACACTGCCAGTCATTACTATAAATGACGATGTCATCTAGGTAGGCAGCGGCATATGCAGCATGCGGCCGGAGAATTCGGTCCATGAGGCGCTGAAACGTGGCTGGAGCCCCGAACAACCCGAAAGCAAGTGTAACGAATTGGTGTAGTCTTTTCTTTGGATAGAGGCGATAAGGGGATCTGCCAGTACCCTTTAGTTAAATCCAGTGTCGAATAAAAACGAGCGGTGCCCAGCCGATCAAGCAGTTCGTCAATCCGCGACATTGGATACGTGTCGAACTTCGACACAGCATTAACTTTGCGGTAATCCACACAGAAACGAACAGAGCCGTCAGTTTTAGGTACTAAAACTATCGGGCTTGCCCACTCACTGTTGGATTCTTCTATTACCCCCATCTCGAGCATCGCCTCTAATTCAGTCTGAACCACTTTTTTTGTGTTCAGGTAACCTATACGTCCGGCTGCGCACCACCACGCCCGGCTCGGTCTCGATTTGGTACTGAATGAGATTTGTTCGACCAGGTAGGGGCAAGAACACGTCGGCAAATTCTGCCTGCAACCTAGCTACATCAGTGATCTGGGACGGCGAAAGATGATCTACTCCCCGAGCCAGAGCGAGAGATTGATTTTTAGTATTCACTTCTGGCCTGAGATCTTCTTCTGCACTAATTACCGTCGCCAGCATCACTGACTCCGCCTCACTCCATTTTTTTAAGGAGGTTGAGGTGGTAAATTTGATGTGCCCCGTTCCTATCCGTTCGAACTAGATAATTGAGATCCCCAACCCGCTGTGTGACCTCAAAGGGTCCTTGCCACTTTGCAAAAAAGTTTAACTATTTTAAACTTTGACCGCGGCGTGCACGCGAGCACGTCAATGGTGCGCTGGTGAAATGACGGTGAAATGGTGAAATGAATGGGTTTCATAGCGCAGCACCGCAGCGCATTCCACGTCCTGTGTGAAAGGCCCATAAGACCCCACGGGGCTGACGTCCATAAAGGAGCTCAAGGGGGAAATCCCCGTGGAGACTTGTCCCAATTCTTGGCGTCTTCGTAAACGAACTTACGAATCATGGTTTTTAACGTGCGATTAAACCGTTCCACCAGGCCATCCGTTTGTGGGTGATAGACGCTGGTGCGAATCGACTTAATGGCCAATATTTCATACAGTTTGCGTAACGTACGTGACATAAAGGCCGTGCCTTGATCAGTGAGGATCTCTTTCGGAATCCCCACTCGAGAGAACAGTGAAACAGTTTGTTCGCGACACTCTTGGCGGAGATGCTGCGCCACAGCTTCTGGGTATCGTGTTGCATAGTCCACTAGAACTAATGCAAAGCGATGCCCATGCGGATCGTTCTAATGGCCCGATGAGGTCCATGTCAATTCTTTCGAAGGGGACCTGCATTAGTGGGAGGGGGTGCAAAGGCGCTTTTGGGGAGGCCGGCGGATTTACCAGCTGACATTCACGACAAGACGCGCACCATCTACGCTCGTTCTCGTGAATGCGCGGCAAAAGAATCGGGCCATGAGACGATTTAAAGTTGTTGCTTGTCCTAAATGTCCAGCCATGGGATTACAATGAGCCTTTTTGGTACTAATAACTGGGTTGTATTTTGTTTGGTCTGAGCATCACTCGATACAACCGATCCTTTAAAATAGCAAAATATGGTTAAGAGAGTGGAGGAGGAGGCTGGAGGGATTGACCGTCAATAGAACGGACCTGTTCAAATGCATGTTTTAATGACTCATCCTGAGACTGTTCCAGGGGAAAGTCATCGCGATCCGAGAGGATCAGCCTCAGTTGTGCTCTGTTCCCCTGGCTCAGATCTCAGTGGTCCCGGCTCCGCCTTTCCGACCTGCATGGCCGCGCCCCTTTCCTGCTTTTCCTTTCCACAAGAGACTTCCACACATAAATACCCCAATAATTCACTAAAAGCAGGCCAATTGGTTCCCAGAATTAGCGGATGTCGGAGGTGCGGGTTAACGGCCACCTCTACATTATGCTTTTGTCCCCTAAAATGAATAACAACGGACACTATAGGATATTTCACCACGTCCCTGTGGACACACCGTACCTGAACCATGCGGCTCATATCCAATGCCTCAGGCTGAATCAGGCTCTGTTGGATTGAGGTTTGATTACATCCTGAATCCACCAGAGCCGGATAGGTACCCCCCTTAATACTCACAGGTATTTGGTACCAGCCAGCCTGACCGGGGGCAGCCTGTGGGACATCCGGGACCCGGATCATTGTCCCCACCTCCATCACCGGACACCTGTCAATGCAATGGCCCGGGTCCCAACAGGCCGGCCCAGACCTACCGTCCACTCTAGTGGTAGGAAGTTGATCAAGCGATTGGTGTGAAGAGAGCGGGGGAGAGGAAGCGGCATTGGTTCTGGCAGTGTCCCCCTGGGCTGAGCTTGCGGGCCACCAGCATGGTCCAGACCAGATCAACGGGACCTAGGAAGAGAGACAGGTCGAGGGCAAGAGGGAGAGGGAGAAAAAAAGTGTGAGAGAGAGAGACTGCTGGAAGGGGTTCGCTGACCCCTGGGCCCGCCACCATATGGTCCTTCGCCAGTTGAATGGCTGAGTCTAGCAACGTCAGGAAAAGTTAAAGGAAGGATTTGCCTGCTGTCTGAACATAACCTCTGATGTCATACACCGACCGGTCTGCACAGCGCCGCTTAAGCTGAACACACCAATTGTAATCACAAACTTCCCAGAAGACTTAGGGTATGTTCACACTTGTAGTTTGGTTCGCTTGGTTCACTTGGTCCGGACCAAAAAAACAACAACCGTACAACTGATCTTAATATTACGGTCTATTTCCCAAAAGTAGTGATGTAGTACTCGAGTCCGGTCTCGAGACCGATTTC